CCCCAGTAGTTTATGGCCATGATGACATAGTTAGCCACCTATGCTCCTTCCATTTACTCAACAGCTTCTTAATTGTGAAAAATTATTTCTTCTTTGCAGCAAACTATCTGGCATAAGTTTACTGGTATTTACTTAGTTCAACGCGTAGAAAACGTCTATTAGGGTCCACGAAAACGTTTCTGATATTTTTATGCCGTTTCAAGAGAAGAAAATCGGTTTGCGGATTATATTGTTTTTATTGACTATGCAGAAGATGCAAACCTATGGATTTAAGCAGCTTCAGCGGCGTACTTGCATTACCATCTGTTGAATACTTGCATTAACCTGCTGAATTTAGTCGTAGATGCTCTTCTCCTGACCTTGACAATTGCATTCCTATGACCTGCATGGACTGGACAAGCGTAGCTGTAGGCAGTTTGTGCAGATCGCGGCGCGTTCTATTAATTGCGGCGAGCTCGTTGGTGCGATGTAACCCCTAACATCTGAAGCGAGGCAACTCCCCTATACCCTTTGAGCTTGAAGGCCACGTGGCATCACTATTATATCCTACCATCTTCGGCCAATGGTTATTGATAAACATCAGCGTGTGTAAATAATAATGCACTTTATTTGAATACATTTGTATACGATCGGTGAAAGATGATTTATAGGTTAATAATGATTGATCAATTCATAGATAAATAATCATTTTAATTGAGCGATCGTTAAAAAGGAGCAAAGATGGTTGGGTTTAAATTTAATCAAAGCGTTTTTTTAACACTAATGATGTTCAATAGTACAGTATAGTGAAAAAATCCTAGCTTTTTTGGTGAAAATCCTTGGTATTATTCGTACCTGTTGAAATAGGAATGCTGTGGTGAAAGTTGACTTGAATATCATGATTCATTGTAATTACCTCTTTTAACCATCCCTTCGTTAGAACATTCGTTACAGCGATGACTTGAAAATTTTTAAATAACTTTTACATGAGGCACCGTGTATTGCATGCTGGTCTTGTATAACAGGATGAAGCATTTTAAATTTGCGGTCTTGACTAGCTGGAAGAGTTTTACTTATTATTATGAAAAGACTTTTAGGCAACTCAAGCGTTCTTTCAATGTTTTTAATTTTCATGTCGTTGGAATTTTGTAGGGTCTGAACGCAGGTCAAGTTCCTACTAGAGAAAAATCGAAGTGATTTTACATTTCTGAGTACAAGTGAAACACAAGTTTCGAAGTTAGACTCAAATCTTCTTGTAGTATTTATTAGTCGAAGACTACCATGATCACCAAAAAATGATTGCTCATAAAACGACCAAATTTTAATCCGTAGTTTCTTGTATTACAATTCACTCACATTTCACACTAGCCGGTCCTTGAATCCCCATGCCAGAGCATCAAAGCTTGCAAGTTTATTTCGGTATTATTTACATGTAACAAGCTCAAGATTTTTTAATCAACAGTATCTTGTGTCGTGTTTTCAATTGTGCCAAACCATCTGTTTCTGTAAGCACCGCACAGATTCTCTATTATTCATCGGCTGATCATTGCCAGCGATATACCTGCCACGATATGGAACAGCATCTGCTTGTGAGTTTCATGATCCTATAAAAGGATGCGTTTAACTCCGCGTATGCGCATTGAACTTTTGACCATTGCACCTTTACCCTTCACATGCATACCACTACCGGGCATGCCTACACCCACCTTTTATAATGCCACCCATGTCATCCCGTGACTGTCGTTCCCAACGTTCATTAGCCAATAATTAGCTCTTATTCTATTGCAACGACCTCATTCGTTACAAGCTACAACAATGGCGGCTCAGCAGTTCAGTTGTTTTTGAATTGCAATTCGGCAAGCGTTGACTACTTTGTGTGATACCTTGATGTATTTTGGTCCCACACACCTCGAGTTTGTCAATTGAGAATATGTCCGCATTTTTTTATTGCTTGCCACTTCTAATTAGTTTTAGTTGAAGTTTCAATCGAACAATCTAAACTCATAACAACGAACGGATTAAATCGTTAATGACGTAATCCACCAATAATTGAAAAATGGCCAACTAATGTAACCAAGTCTGTTTGTAAGCGTTGAATATTTTCTCTCGTTTTTTTTAATTTTGATAGATTAGAATACTTTTGATATGGAATATTTTTTCCGGTTAATGACCATCCCCATCTAATGAATACTATTTAAACCATAAGTTTTTGGGCTTACGTCATTTTTGTATTTTTTACGCAAGTCAAGTTTAATTTATCAACTTTCAAATGAAAAACTTATAGACCGTTTGAAAATGCTCATTTTGATAATTATGGTGTACTTTTATTTTATATGAATACGTACAAAATATAATTTCACATTCTGCAGAAACTTGCGTTGCCTCGATGGAAGCCGTTGCCTCGTATATATGGAGGACCTTAATGCTTCCCTGTTCGTCCTGCATGCCTTTAGCTCCTGTACTTGAATGCTCGCTCTCAATTAAGCAGTTCGTTTTTAATTCATTAATTGGTATTCACTAAGCAGTTTTTAATCTTAATTCTACTTGCGTTTTTATAATCAAATGAAAATGTTGTGATTAGCCCGGCTATTTATCTAATGACCTTGGTTACTGATGTTCACTATATGGAGGACACCATTGTACTCCTTAGAAAGTCTGGATCTCTAAACATGAAGAATTCAAAGGTTGCCATTGCTTGTTTATTGGGTCGTTACTGCTACACACCGTGCATGACAAAGCATCATTAGAGCTTTCACTGATGCAACGTGGCTTGGCTAAGACCTGGCTTGCTTGGATACGTCATCCTTCACTTAATATCCAACGCGCTCAAGTCATTGTGTGTCGCACAGATCCAAGCATGGGTCTGAACAGGCTGCCTCATTCCAAGTCCACTGCCGTCCAATAACAAACGCGACTGACAAGGAGAATTTATTCCTGATTTGGCTTGACATCGGCCAGGCAGGGAACTGATCTGTAATATTCTTTACGGTACTCGTTTTAGTAGCGCCGTTTGCCAGTTTTTCAACTGGTGGATCATGTTTCGATAATTTGTTGTCACTCTTTTGTAGAGAACGATAGTACGTTGGCTTTCCAATATATCATTGCAAATGAGGCTGAGTATTGTTGGTCATTCATGATGTAGTTCTGACATTTATTATAAAGGCGTGTTCAGCCGTTAGGACAGTCGGTCGAATTCGCGTTTTCTTTCTTGCAAAAAATATCGAGAATGCAATTAACTGCCTCATTAATTCCGTTTTATGCTCATTATCCTAAGTGTTATCTGAAGCCTTTTCGTAATATTTTTTTTATTTTTTCATTCGTAAGTAAGTTTTCAGAACACTGAAGTTTTTGAAACAATAATTTTCACGCAGGCGCCAAAGTTTATCGTCCGATGACGACGACCAATTAATGTATTTCGAATGTGTTGGTGTGTTCTCGTTTTACAGGGAATGCTACTATTGCTACTTGCTTTCCTCCACTTAAAGCCAATATTTTAGAACAAGAGATTCGGTGACTCCATCATTGAATTGTTATTCCATTATAATCGTAAAGTTTTAATTTTCTCAATTTGTTGCGTTCCTGCATTTAAAACATTGTATTGACTCAAAAATAGATTATTATAGTAGTAACTATCACATTATGACGTTAGTTCTAATTCAAGTTGGATTTCAGTCTATTGATTTTTATTATATTTTTTAGTGGTTACAGTTAGTGGTTATTTTTTAGTGGTTAGTCTCGTGTGTATTTTTCTCAATTCTACAAAATTGATTCGCTAAAAGAAGCGACGCCATGCAAAACTCAGTGAAAGTTTTGCTCCGGTGGCAGGCAGCAGATTTTCGTCACTGTCACCGTTCCGTGACCGCCTCTTTGGCCCTTTCATTAGCGAGGATTGAGCTTCTTAGTGAAGCTTTGGAGAGCGAAAGTTCCTTTGCTCGATCCTGTTTCTTGGCTTGACGACCTTCTTTGTTCTGCAACCAGCATAAAGAACGCTCCTATACCGCCATCTATTGGCGGATTAAAAAACTCATTACCATCGTGCAGCTGCATTCGTTACGAAAAAATTACTTTATTCTTAGTTCCAATTGAATACCCATAGCTTTGTTTGTAGAATTGATCATGGTTGTCGCATAATGTGCATCGAACTTATTTCCGATCATTAAATAATTGAGTGGTTGATTTGTATTTTAAAATTTAATTGATAAAATTGTTATCTAAGCAAGTATATGTTAAATGACGTCAATGTCCATACGCGACCATTTGAAATAAATTCTGCAGTTTTAGTGATGAATTTATACAGAAATCAGACTAATTACAATATTGCAATGATCGTAAAGCCCTCGTGTGGTTCTTATGATACTTACGTCTCGGTTCTTCGCTTTAATTGCTGCTTATGCTTTATGAAATTCGTTCAATATAAGACGTTCAATACTAATCGAAAGTTAGGTGCGTTGTCGTAGGATTTCGCTCAAAAATTTGAGTGCAACTTTCGATATAGGCTAAGTGGTTTGAAACGAAAAGTCAAAGAGAAATTGTTGCCACGAATATGCTTCAAGTTCGATCTTGAAGCGAATCACGTTCGTGCACTCATTGAAGGTTGGAATTCTAATTATTCAATGATGGTTTCATTTTTGGGGGTCATACCCGTATGAAGTTTTCATTCCCATAAACCATTTTGGCTCACATCTCGCCCAAGAAGTCTGATATTTAGTATTTTTTGTTATATTTCAAGAGCAAATGTCGAAGTTTTTTTTCTTATGCGAGGGCAGAGGTCTAGTGATTACCTTTCGATAAGGACATCTATATAATCTTGTTTCTTTCCGAAATTTTCTGCCTCCTACGTGCGATTTAATAAATTTTACATTTCGGTCGTTTATTTGTGATTCAATCTTAATCAAGTATATCAATCAATTTTTAATTTTTGTATCAGCTTGAAACCTTGCAAAGAGATCTCTCATCTGAATCGGATTTGTATCTTATTAATTGTAATTTTTTAATTAATGTTATTTTTATTTTATTTTCAGGACTTATCACAAGGATTCATACATGGCTCAGAAGAAGGATTGGTCAAGCGGCTTCGAGGGACGATATCGGCGCACATCGTCTCCATCTGCCTCGCCCAGCCGGAACATTCAGACCGGCAACTCCATAACTCCTAATGCACTGGAACACTCCTTGACTCACCACTCATCCACAAAGTGCCTCAGCACTTACAACAATAATTACGCTGCTTTGTCTTCATCGCCAATGCTTTCGTCGTCAACTATGGCATTATCTTATCCTTCTAACGCATCTTCTGGTTCGTCTTCGCTCTCGTCTTCCTTATCTTCCTCGTCGTCGAAATCAAAATCTGGATCGTATCTGAAGCATTCTGCATCGTCCACGTCGTCATCGTCAAATTCATCGGCTGGGTCGTCTTCTGCTGGTCCCAGAAAACCTATTTTTAAGTCCCACATAAAACCCACTACGCTTGATAATGAAAATCAAGTCAACAACAACGATTCAGGCTGGGCTGGCCATGCTCGCCAGACGTCCACGATAGTCGATTTTACTAGCGAAGCACTTCGAGCTCTTCGACCCAATAAAAAATCAGAAGCTGCATATTACCAACCGACTCCTATTAGAACTCTGCCTTCTGCAGTGTCAACTCCTGCTTTGCTGCAACAGGCGACCTACAGGTCGCAATCAGCTTCTTCTAACCAGGGGTCATCATCTTCTTTAGCGAGCGCACACTTAGATCCGCCACCCAAGACGAGCCCCGACTCATCATTACGGGCTTCTTTGGATTCTTTACATTGCGCTCGACTGCCGATTGGATCCCGAAGTCGCGGAGCCCTCGATGGGCTTCCCCGAACGGTAAGCGTCAACGAAACTCTCTCAAACGAGTCTTCCAATCGCTGCGCCAGTGTTGTCGAAAGTTTGAGCAGGTCTACGAGTGTTGCGGATTCTTTGTGCCGAAGAAGTTCTAGTGCGGCTGACACTCCTTCGAGTTTATCACGTGCAAGTAGCATTAGTGAATCCTCGGCTCCTAGTCCTACCTGCGTAGGCCTAGCGTCTACTGCTGTTGAAGGGGCTGTCATCGCTCGACCTGCCACAGTTACTGAAGAGTCGAGTGTTCTTCAGCCCTCCACTGTTGAGCAAAAAATATGTCATGAGAGAATCGAAGACGCTTCTCGAGAATATAACGGAAGCGGTAATCTAATCGATTCTCCGACTACTTCCTTATCCAATTATTATTCGACTGGAAATTCTCCTGTGCCATCAAGTAATTCTGTCTTGTCATCACCTCCTCGCACTCCGCCGGCCGTTACAGAGTTGCCAAACGATTCATTAGTCGCAGGGAGTACACACTCTTTGCCTTCGATCTCAGACGACAATGACTCGTCATCACAACCTTCATCGCCTCTGCTTGCACCCTCTGAACTTCTGCTTCCCGAGGCCGCTCCAAGCGTCTGCTCCGAACCTGGTAGTACTGATGTTACTGACGTACAGGTGGACATGGTCACCATTGGTTACGGTCGAGGACGACGGCGAGAAGAAGTCGAGTGTGAACTCCTTTCTATGGAGTACGTCTCGAGACTTGGACTCGATCCGCGGCTGCAGGCTCTATTGGGTGAGTGCTGCTATGATATCTTACGTGAAATTCATTCACTGCCTGCATTTTAATTTTCCGCTGATAAATTTCTCCCTTTTTCTGTTCATTGCACTAAGTAAATTTTGGTGCATCACTGCAGCTACTAACTGTGCTGCTATGTTAAGACAAGTAAGTAAGTGTGAATTGTGATAACCGATTGCGGTTCCTATTGCTTATTAAAGTCGCGTTGGAATTTTTATGTCGGTTTGTCTTATTTTGTTTATTCAGGTTACGTATGAATGTGCTTCGAGGGTCAGTAAGCGAATTCTATTAATTGCTTTATTCTTTAAATTTAGTTGCAAAAGTTATAAGTAAGACTGTGTGAGAGAGAGTAGACGGCTCTTCAGTTCAATTAACACAGTCTCTGCTCTTATCGTAGGTAGAAAACGAATAATATGCTTGAAGAAAACTATCAATTCTATCGTACACTATCGTGATATTCTTGAACTTCTGAAATCTATAGTCGTGTTATCATTGTCTTAATCGCATGCAATCCCACTTCAACACGTAGGACACCTGCACTTTTTATCATATAAAATATTCAAATTATCAATTCTTTTTGGTGGTTAGATGATAGCAATATGCTGTCGTTTTTTTCTGATTCACCGCAGGCTCTAAATTTCGAAGCGGCTATAAGCCTATAATGAATGTGTGCAAAAGTGTTTATCGGTTGTCCGTGTAAGGGTCGTAATCCACGTAATCTTCAATCACTAATATTGTATATTGATAATAGTGATTTTTTATTCACTTCAGTAAAGGAACATTTATAATTTTCTTCTAGTAGTATTTTTTATGTTGGGTCTTGAGACTCGATATTTTATTTTTTTACGATAATACTTTTTGATTAGAAATGTTTATCAACGACGACGTTCCCATCAGTAAATTGAACACCTTATGATGGACTTTCTCGTTGGAAATGTCATTAGTGTCGTTGCCAGAGGCGTCGTGACTTGTTTGGTCGATTGCAGTGACCACAACTAAAAGACGTTCACGGTCATGGCCTCCACTTGAACGATTTGTTTTGTGGCTCACCTGCCGTTAGATGCAAATAATTTTGTCTGCATCGTTTGTTATAACTTACATTGATGATCAAAATATCATATTTGACCTTAATATAATCAAGAAATCTGTTGCGATCAATAATGTACCTAGAGGATATCATTCGTGCGTGAGAATATAGGCCTAATTGCTTCATTGCACTACGGTCGTATAGGTATGTTTTTTTTCTACCTGTCTTACTTAATTTCACCTGTCTTACTTAATACCTTAATTTCATCATTTCAACTAATTACTGAGATTTTATTTTCATCTTTTGGAAGCTGGCTTCTCCTAAAGATTGCAATTGATACATCTTCTGTGGAGCCTATTTAGAAGATATGAAGGTGCATACTGAGTTCAGTCTCACTGCTATATGCCACACAAATACTTAAACCTACTAAATTGTTTCCTATTTATTGCCATTATTCATGATGTGCTATTAAAATCTTTGATGACATGCTGTTAAAATTTGTAATTTGTTCGCCGAAATTTAGACACTTTGAATAAGAATTTCGTTACGCTGTTTTATAGTTACGGCTATAAATCTGCAGAAAATTGCAATAGCCGATTTGCTGAATTATTTGAGATTTACTGTTGCATGGGCTACTCTTTCATTGCAGGTTATTTTATCTTTTATTTCATTATTTATCTCTTATTTCCTTCTGATTTCATTCTCGAATTTAAGCATTTCGTTCTTGCAGATTTTTTTGTCATTGGACTTTGATTTGATTCACTTAAAATATGAAAACTTCCTCTATTTATCTCGCGATATCTCATGGTTTCAGTCTCCTTCAATCGTTAGGTTACATAAAACACTAAATTTGCAATCTTCAGTTAAGATTGGAACTTCACTTTCACGGATGTTGAAATTGGTTCATTGCAAGACGTCGACTTGATTTCCTCGTTGCCTTTGAACTCAAGGACTCTGCTCTCCGCTAATTGGATCCGCGCGCACGACCGTCGTGAGCTGTTCGATCGTCGCCAGACAACTGCCAGTCGTGACTGAAACTTCTTGTCGTTAACTACGATCGTTTTATTGCTGCTTTTCTCTTTGTAAAAAATATAATTATGAAATATACGATTGAATTAAATACAATATATAAATAAGAGCATTCACAGGGATATTCGGTTGTGAGATTATCGAAAATCAAAACATTCTGGTCCTATAGGCAATGGCACATTCCCGGCTCTCTTTTGCGATGTGTTTCATATGGAATTATGGATACAGGCATTATACTGTTCTGGTAGCGGCACCAGCGGTGCACCCCAAAAAACTCATTGAAAATTTGAATGTCGATTTCATTTAAAAATTGGCAGACTGTGCCAATTTGTTATTTTACTCGTATATTTATATCATTTTTATGCGTTTTAATATATTGTGTTGATTTTCCGTTTATTACACAGTCTCGTGATTAGTTTACATTGAACACGTCTAACAAATCAAATTTTGAATAATAAAATATTTTCACAACTGGCAATGGGTGTACATCTTGTTTGCTGGGCTGTGTTAAAATGATTATTTTAAATGATTTATGCGTATTTTCTAGTATTTGAAGTAAAGGATGGGTTTCCTTTCCACTTGGATGGGTTTCCTCGTGGTGAGGTTTATCGTGTGTGAAGTTCGTCTTGGATAAGGTGCTTCCTTCTTGTTTATAATTTTTTTTTATTCCTGTAGCACCAAAGCCAACTAGAACGCGACAATCTTTCCCCACGTTTCTAATCCAATTGTTATTTGTATAATGCAAATTCTTCGGAATTTTTTACAGTTCTTGGATTTGGTGCGATGCGAAAACAGGACTTGCTTATAAAAACGTTGCTTGCATCTCGACATACTTTTTGCTCAGTCACGCTGCTCAAAAGAAGCCGTTATTTCTCTTAGAAATTGTATTGTTAATTCCCAGTTCATTTATTTAATTGCTCGAGATTTTTACTTGTCGTGCTATAAATACTCTGCGACTTTCGACTGTTATAGTTTTTGCATTCGAGTCGATTCGGCTAAGAGTTGTTACCTTTGATTATATAAATTATTATGGTGTTCCGTTTGAGCTATTTGTGAATTAATTCCTAAAGGAAATTGTCATTTACTCGATACTATTGGTTTCTTTCAGGAAAGAAGCACGAGTTTGCTTTACTTCACTAGTCTCGATTTGTAGTCTTTGCTTGTCATAAAACATAATACGATTCACGATAATATCGACATTTGTTTTAGCTGAAGCCTACGTTGTTTTGCGCATGTTTTGCTTTGTTTAAAAGCAATGTGATTTGCATCCTTTTCATTCTTAGCTGTTAAGTATTTTGTTATGTCGCTTCTACTGTTACTGCCGATAACGGTGGTGGACGGCGGTTGGGTCGACGGTGGACGATGGACATTCGAGTCCTCTTCATGACCGACCGTGGCAGTATCGAGTTGGACAGTGCGACGGGAGGTTATTAGCACGTGGTCACTGCGCTCAGTCTGCTCACTGCCTAACTAGTTTCCCTGTTATGCTTAACAAATATCTGCTTAACTGCAACTACAATATACAAAGAATGACCCATCCATTCCTCTCTCATTCTTGACATGCCTTCGATATTTGAGCTTACCGTTTTCTGGGTTATTCATTAGAAATAAGCTGCTTTGTAAATTACATTCCCAGCAGTTGCCAGCTGTTGTGCTAAACTAGGAACATTTGTGGACCAGTTTAAAAAATTTGAACGTGTTGGGATCTAGCACGGATTTAGATGTGCGTTACTTGAGATTTTAGGCAACATTTTAATTTTTTTAAGGCTTTCCTAGTTACCCTGTGTCTGAACTGCAGCGCTTGTATTTTACAGAATTAATTTTCCGTATTTTGTAAAATAACCCTGACCTTGTTATCAATGCTCCATCCGAATCGTAGTTCTGATCGTAATTAGCGACATGACGGTATGTATGATCAATTAATCGTTCGTACAGTAGAGCATGAATCGACGCCCTGCCGACCGAGTATAGTGTTCCCTGCGCTGTATACCGGCCATGCGCTCTCAGTCATCACCCACAACAAGCAGCAAAGATTTGAAGCACTGAAATTTTTGTGCTTGTGCCTAATTCATTTGTTTTTACTTTCAAACGTCACATTTTTAATATTTTGTATGACGAAATCTCTAACGAATTCTACAAATTTTCTAAGAATAATTCTAACGAAAACGTCGTATATTTCTGAATTTATCTGGGGTAAACCAACACCTGACTCACTTGATCTTAATTTTTTATGCAAATAAAGGAAAAGTGAGGCTTGAATTATTAATACATTTACTTTTTACAGTATTTGAACGCTTGTCCTGCAAGAGCTTTAGGGGCTTGATTTGCGTCTGCTTTCATTACGTCTGAAATCGTTACGTTTCATTACGTCTGAAATCGTTACGTTTCATTACGTCTGAAATATGTAGAATTTACCCTGACTACTGAAATTTTCTACTGAAGGCTTTATTATTTTGACAAAACAAACTTTTGGCTCCCATGGCTCCAGTGCAACGCATGGGGCAGCGAGTGAAAGGTGAAGAAATTAAGAAACTTCTTGAAAAAATTTCTTTGATTCGCAACAATCCAGCGTGTGTAAGAACGGCATTTTTTGTTTCCAGAGATTGAAGCAGTTACTTTACGATTACTCTCTTCAACTCTTTGTAATTATGGTTTCGTCAGTGGCTACCTAAGCTGCGCAGAAACGTTGCTCGTCTCCTATCTTGTGTGCTTCTATGTTTTACGTTGGAACACTCGTATATGTAAAGGCCTGCATGCTTCCAGCAGGCGGCTCATGCAGAGTAGAATGACTTGCAAAGCATAAACCCTACCCTGCATCTGGAAGTTCTTGTCACTACTAGTGCTCATTCTTCGAGCCTTTACACAAATGACTCGTCTCCTCTTATCATGATTAATTAGTTTTGCATGGGCAAATTCAACGTCATCGTCATGTCTGCACACTTTTTTCTACTGGTGTTAAAATTGCACATTTTAACGTTATCAGACGTGCGTTTTTTCTATTTTTGAATTCATCATCGGTGCGTTACAAATATACTTTTAAGAAAACTTAGTTTCAAGATTTGTCTTACCAAAACCGGAATCGAGTCAATCTGATAACGTTGCGCGCCTGCGCATTTTTCATGAGTGTTATAACCTATTAAAAACTCAATTTTCGCTGCATTTATTGATGATAAAATTGATAGTATTTCTACCTTCCCCAATTAAATTTTCTTCTGCGCGCGTGTGCAATGATTCGAATGCCTTTCTGAAAGTGCTTTTGCATTTGAGGTGTGCCACAAGGTGGACGATTGCCTCTTGAGTTCTGACTCTGCATTCGATCTTGTTTGTTTTCATCCGAGTCCTCCCTGTGACTTTGAACTGATCGAAGTGGCATCAACCTCTGTACCGGTTTGCCGAACCTGTCTGGCTCTTATAGCTTCGATAAAAAGAGTACATTAAAGAATAAATCTAGCGGAATTCTAACCGGACACTGCAAGGCTTATGAAAGTCGAATAAGATGATTGTGCGAGAATCTTGTTAGCATGATTATGTGTCTATAGTTTTATCATCTACGTTTAGCCTGCATTCTGCTAGTAATGACATAATCAGAATGCGCGCATCTGAGCATCATTCCTACTATTGTTGCAATATTCCCGAACTTCCTATTCCTGCAAATCATTATTGAACGATCCCTCTTTGTTACCTTCATCGCAATACATGATGCAAAAGCCCGGTTATTGTGCGCTAGCGGAACATTGTACCGAAGAGACATGTGCTGCCTGGTCTCTGGTAGTGATGCATCATGTGAGTCATACCATCCGCGACCCGCTCGATTATCAATGTCTATTGTCGTGCATTACCTTCTATGGCAACATTTTTCTGGCTGGCCGCTTCACCTCTCTGGTCGAGCAAACTTTCTTGCGCTTTCCATACGACCCAGAAGGCTTCTTTTGTTCCTTCTAACTCTCTTAATCTCTTTCATTTAATTTTAAAGAGCGTCTTGCAGACAGCGAGTTTTGGAGGCATAAGGGCTGGGCTATGTTCATATTTGTCCTAATGTATACACTCAATTACCGAACAGCCAGTGTTCAGTAACGCTTCTGAATGGCTTAGTTTTCCATTATGCTTGAGCTACTCTTCGTCGTCATACTATTAGCGATCTTATTGACAATACGACCAAGAAGAGTTCTTTGGTCCAGGCAAAATTTTGATGACAGTGATGGCTAGCAGTTGATGACAAATCTCCTGAGCGGTACCGAACCAACCAAACTCCTTCGAAGTCCTTCAAACAACGATGTGTTAAACATTAATTTTTGTTAAAAGCCTCAAATTGTCTAACTAAAATTTATTTCATTTCTTAGCTAAACTAATCTACGAAAGAAAGCGTTTTCTTCGTATTTATAGCCAAGGTTTTCAGCATATGCAAGAGCACGTAGGAGGCAAAGTGCCCGTCGTTTGTTGGCTGTTGCGTCTGCATGACCAGCGTGGCACTTTCTCTAGCTGAGCCGCTTGCAGCTGTGCCTGCTTGCGTCTTGTGCTGACGCTTTTCGGCATCTTTTTGTTGCTATGTTTGCTACTTGTTGTGCAAGTTGAGACTCCAGGTGTTGTATTAGGTCTTATTTTCTTGTTTGTTTTTTACTATAAATGTTTGTACCTTATTTCTATTAGCATGATCCAATGTTGCGACTGATTGTTAATTGTGCGATAGTATTTCATTTTTGTTTCGATCTATCCGTTGAATGATAGTAGTTTGAACTGTTATTGACTGGTCCTCCATCGAATTTATTTTGACTAATTGGTCCTCGCATTTTTTCTGTGAAATCTCACAAATATCGTGAAGTTTTCCAGACAAATCTTTTGGCGTGACTGAATGCGGCTGGGACAAACTTATGAACCGTTATAACTTTTGAGTATGATGTTTTTTAAGTTATTTATCTGCATCTGTCTTTTTTTGCGCATGCTATCGATTTGTTTATACGTTTCATGTAGAGTATCTTTGTTATTGTTAATTTTTTCTCTATCACCTCTTATTTAGACCTCCAAAAATTTTTGATACCTCCTATGAATTTGCTGAAAGAAACTCCTTTGGAAAATCAGAATATTTTATCATATCCGCAACCGCGCCATGTTTCTTGAAGTAATATTTTTAAATTAAAAATTAAAGCTCAGTCATGATTTAAAGTTTAGCATCAAGAATGTTTCGTAATCGTCTCTCGTTTTCCATTCTTAGCTCCTGGACCCGAGTTGAAGACCACGGCTGACTACATGGCAGGAGTCTTCAAGTACGAAGTGCGGCGAGACATCCTTGCCTCTCGGTCACAACACTTAGTTCCTCTGTACGAAAATCAGGATGGTCAAAAGCATCCGCAAAATTTCGCTTCAGGACGGCTAAGTTCAAACAATTACCCTCTGCTGAATGGAGACTCGACTCGAGATTCAAGAGTAAAAGAGTATGAAGTGTCCCCGCCAAAATTAAATTCAGCCTCATCGCAATCTTACACTAATCTCTCATCCACATCCAATCGATTCTCTAAGAATTATTTTTCGCCTCCTAGTGAAGAATCAGTCTCTAGTCTTACAAATAGTAATAGTTACTCCAACTTAAATTCTCCCACAAGAAACTCGTCATTTTCCGCCAACAATAGCTCTGCCAATCTTAGCTCTGCGAATCAAGTTGCCAACTTTACGTCACTCAGCTCTCCTGTTCGATCATCGGACTCCAAATTTATCTATTCGAGTGGGCGCACTCAGTCAAGTCCTGAACACACCACCAACCTCTCGCTCTCTATCAACGACGCCACCGGCTACCAGAGTCCCGGTGCCTGCTCTACAGATGAACCTAAAGTACCAATGTAAGTCCTTTATGTTAAAAGTATACATTATCTGCCTGGGAAGATTGATATTCCGGTTTGGTGTGTACTTTTTTTCTATTCGACTATCTGCAATTGTGTGCTAATTTCCAAGTAGCAATCAGTGCCGCCAAGTTACGGATACTATAAATGGATCCGCTGATAGTTAAAGAGTTGAAAATATTCTCAGTAACTGGGTCTTTATGTAAAATTTATGTCTCAAAAAATGAGATATATTTTTAGTTATGAAATATTCGTCACGTTCGTTGATAATTTCTAATTGGGTCCTCTTATTTCTACCCTCGCAAAATTGAGCTATTAGAAAGTTTTGCTTATCAAAAACCTACTGTAACGCAAGTTTGCCATCGTTCTGAGAACTGACATCGATCACCGTTGAGCCCTGACTCTTGACTTCCTCTCAGTTGTGGCAGAATGAAGAGCCTCTGAAATGATGGCATCCGCTCGCACTCTTTTCCTCTTACTAATCTCATTGAGATTGCAAAGAATGAGGGTAGTTTCAGGAAATGCTAATGACAGCCTTGTTTGAAAACGGTTCAGTAGCTAACTTCCATTCAATTAGAACTGGTTATGTAACAAAATAGACTTATTATGTAAATCAAATCCTAAAGCATGACGATCTACAGCATTATTCGAAAACGGCTATCTTTTTTGTAGTGCGTCTGCAATGCTTGTTTGATTTGGTGTATGGTTTTTAAATTGCAACAGAAAATAAAATGTAAACTTTCCCAAGCTCAATGAGCTTCGATTTTTTTTTATGTGTGGTCTTATTCACAGTTAACAGTATTCAACATTTATCGTTCATGTGAACCGAATTGAGCGTGATTTGTACGGTACAAGCGTTTTTTTGATATTTCTTACTGAAAATATCAGTAATTGCACTTTATACTAGTTCATAAAACGTGTCGAGCCTGCTATGCGTTTTTAAGTTTTACACTTGTTAACACGCGAACACCTGTTGCGCGCTGTGACCCATGCACACCTGTGGCTTCCTGAAGTGCTGTGTGCATCACCATGACTCACTTTATCTAAGCTGGTTTGGTCGTGACTCGTGATCGTCAAATTTTCTGAAACATGGGGAAATATAATTGGTCATTATGCTATGCATGAAGATTCGTGTTCTATATACGAATGGTCATCATGACATTTGAATGTAATGAGAGATCGTCGAGTGGAAGAACTCGACTTTTTGTTCGCGGTTTAACTAAGATGTCTACAATACTGAATGAAAAGTATAGATTCATTAAATTAGGATAAGAACTGCTTCTCGGAGTTTTAGCCTTCTGAAACACTGAACTTTTCTCGATTCTTGATTTCTTTCCGAAGAGACAATAATATCTATATATTTAGTTCGCAATATCTAAATATTTTTTTTCGTATTTTCAATGCAAAATATAAGTAATGTTTTTCTCTCAATAGAAATGCAAGGTCGCCTCTACCTTCGGACTCGGCATACTTCACTTCGGAGAGCAAAGCGCGACTGCTCACTAGGATGAGGTCTTCTCCGGACGAGCGTGAGAAGGACGCTCGAAACTCACCGACGTCTCCTACAACGGCTGACTCCCAAGCTCTTATGCAGAAAAAAGTAGGCTGCTTTTAAATTGCCTGATTTTACCTGCAAAGAATCGAGTCTAATTCCTTTAAATATTATTTATTAACGCTCATAAATGATGTATTTTAAAGGGACAGGAGTCATTGATTGTTATTGCATTGACATTAGTCGGGTTGCTGGCTTTGGTGAACCTGGAAGTAACTGAGTCAGCAACTTGGAAGTTGCTGACTTTGGTGAGCCTTTAAGCAAGTACACATTTTGCAGAGTTGTATGGAGATATTTTCTTATACTGATAAATGCAATTCGAACAATGTTACCCATCAGGAGGAGCTGATGCAGAGCATTGGAAGGAAGCTGGAGATCTTGCGAGCTGAGGAGGAGGCCATCAAGGAAGAGATGAGACTCAATAACGAGCTTGGCCTGGAAGTCTCACAACGGGTCGAGATTCAAGCCAAGCCACAGGTGAATATTTTTCAAAATGTTAATGTACACATTTTGAGCTGTAGCTCTAACGTGCCGGGGTCAGGATTACCCACACAAGAACCAAATTTGGTTCTTGTGTGGTTGGTTCAGCATTACTATTTGGACAGCTCGAGTCTCGCTAATTTTTCTGAGGGTAAAGCGGTTCGTGAGATTTTCTTTAATAGTGCAATTTCTTTTGATCTATCACTTCCATTTTTACCCTCGTAGCCTTTCGTCAGTTGGTACCTAATTCATTATCCGAACACAATGATTTTGGGTCGCTTATTTAATGCTCTGTTGTCACTTCAATGTTTATCGTTCAATGTTCTTTACAAAAACACTAATATTTTTTTATTTTGTTGCAATTTTCAAAGTTACCAACTTTTATGGTTTTACCAGTTGGTAAAACCATAACCTTTTATAGTTTACAAGTTGGTTAAAGGTTACCAACTTTTTATGGCTTTAGATTTTTTAACTTGTTTTTTTTTTTGTTTTACTATTTCCTCACTGAAAGTTAGCCTGCACGAAGATCAAGCTCATCTGATTTTATTGAGGTGTTGTTTAATTGCATTCCATTGCTTTTTTTAATAGGAGATAACGTTCGATATTATTATGCTAGACCGTTTAATAAATATTTCAATTTCAAACAACTGTGAAAAATTTTGCTGAATTGTTTAGTTTTTTATTTTTGAAACTGAACTTAACGTTTCTTCCTCAACAGGAGGTAGAGAAATTCAAACTACACGTCAATGAGATCGACAAGATCACGTCGCTGCTGCTGGGGCTGTCTGGCCGCTTAGCGCGGGCAGAGAACGCCTTGCTTCTTCTGTCCCCGCAAGACGGCCCCGAGCTTCGGGTGAGACATTGTGTATTGCATAATTTAATTAGTTTTGCTTATTAGCTTCTGAAATCTCAGGGATGAGTTGCTTACTGTTCCCCAGGTTTTCTTAACCTGATTAATAATGTCCCCTTGTATATAAGTTCTCATCACGTATGACTTAGTGCAGCAAATTTTCGACCAATTGGTGATAGTATGAAGGCTTTTTAGCTCATTTATGGAAAAAATGCACTATTGTGCTCGCCATGTCCGTCTGTCTGTCTGTCCGTCTGTTCGTCCGTCTGTCCGTGACCTCAAGTTTTCGTCGACGAGAAAATGCGCTCTCTGTCACTCACTGCAGTGAGTATTGAGTAATATTTATTTTATTCAACGATGTTATTGTTCGGGTATGCAACAATCCTAATTTATTTGTCGTTCATAGCGTGTCTTGGAGCTGAAGAGAGATCGACTACACGAGCAACTTCAGGAAGCCCTGGTGCTCAAGGAGAACATCGACAGGAGAGCTGCTCAGGTACAGTAATTACATATGGGATTATTTGCACAAACCCATTATTGCGAACCATAAATGCAGTTTCTATCTATACGAAAAAGACAAAAAATTCTCGTTTATGCTGGCCTTGAAACATTTCCGTATAGTAATCCATTGGATAGAATAATTTGAAATCTTTCTGTGACCCAAAATAACAGTCTGATAGACATCTTGCTAATTTATTGTTCCATGATGATGACGACCATAAGAGCTATTATTAATGATGGGGATTATTGCTAATGACTGCTCTAACGTTGGTTGTGCAGGTTGATAAATGTTTGATGCAGTACCTAAACGAAGCTGAGTTTGCTGACTACGATCACTTCAGCAAGATGAAAGCCAAGCTTGTAATGGATGCACGGGAAATAGGCGACAAAATCACGCTCGGAGAAGAACAGATGACTGCATTGAGAGGAACTTTCAAAAGTTCTGAAGAAGCGCCCTTCAGCAATGGTTGCTGAGCGAGCCTTACTGCAATCCGCAATTGGTAAAGGTCTACCTCAGAATTGCACCCTCTAATTCGGTGCAGTATCTCGAGGGTAGATTCTTCCACCAGTCAATGGCGTTTGGTTTGTCTCACTTTAATAAATATCTACAAAGACTTGAGTGCGTCTCTATAGGAAAATATTTCTCTGTATGGATTCGTGGTCAAAAAGGCATAATTCTTCAAGTGATCTTCGTCAGCGTGCCGAGCAAACTGAATGTCACAAATTATTCGAAATGAGAGAAGAATTAATGAAGTCTGACGACAATTATCAAGTCAATTTTAATCACGTAGTGTGTAATCAAGTGTTATATATGAATGAAAGGATGATTTTACCAACCAGACAATTTCTTAAAAGAATGTGATCCTGTAGTTCTGACGCGTGTCTGTGTTATTATTTCGTTAATATCCTGTATCTTTAAGTTGCTCATTCTTTTTATTCTCGATGCGAAACATATCACATGCTCTGCTTTGTCTGATTATTGACACTCCAACAGAACATCAAAACCGTGAATTGTTGCGATTTCGCCTAACGTGCTTTTTTCTCCGCTAACCACGAAATGAAGTTCATATTTCATTAAGCGATCTTTCAAATATATCTCTGGCTGCTTTATGTTTCGCTTTGCAGGTGCCAGGGAAACAATGGTTTGGTTCGCTATTGCTTCCCAATATTTTATGATTTTCTTCAATTATTACTTGAGATATTTCGTATTTAAGAAGGGTGAGGAAAACTCGTATGACAACCTCCCTGTAGGAATTGTGAAAATAGGTATGTATATTTTTTCATAATTTCAATTGTTGTAAACGGTGCTCGTTATTTTTCTGTGCTAAGTTACCTTGCTTGTTATTTCTTTTTAACTTTGATAGTTTCTGTCTTGTATCAACGATGATGAAATTTCTCTTCATTAGGTTTCATTGCACGTAAAATCGGTAGTCGTGGAAATTTGCGTCTGTCCGAGAGACGCCGCAGTGGTTAACAAGATCGATTTTGAATAATCTTATTATTTTTCTCGCTGCAGTTCTCCCAGTCTTTCAGTATATTCTTTAGTATGTATAGAGATGCGATCTTCCGCAAATTGGGCATAAACATCCGATGTGAACTACACGAGTTATTGTGAGGCATGAGAAGTGTGTTGTCTAGATGCCTCCAATCAATTATGCTATTTATGCTGATAATGTATGTAATTTTTTAATTTAGACTTTGTCATGACGTGAGTTACGCCAAGTTTTACTTTTAAGGCTGATTTCCATTTTTCATGGAACGAGAGGCTTATATTAATGCTTTTCAAAACAGTCGGATCTGTAAAGAATTAATTTAAATTATTGTATTTTACAAGTTCTTATTGGTTTCTTTTGCTCTAATTTTTCTTTTAGTCGAGCAGTCTCACTACCGTAACCATTTCAATAAAATATTAGAAGTCGTTTTGTAAACATGTCAGGAAATTAAAGCTACAGGGTGCGGCGCGGGAACTTACTTATTTGAATTGCGCGCCACGTGGCGGCCATTAGTCCTAGGAAGGTGGCGCCATGCGCAATATGGTTGTAATATTCAAGAATTAAACTTGTAAGTAAACCCAACGAAACTTTAAATGTAGCTCTTTGTAAAAAAGAAAGAATTAAAACGCTATCTTTAATACTTTTTACTTTGTGATTTTTTTAAAAGAGTAAGTTCCCACGCCGCACCCTGTATAATAATTGTTCATGTTGTTTATGAAATATCTATAGATTAAGGTACTAAATCTTTGAAACAGTATTGAATTTTACCACATACCGGGTATCGAACTTTGAACTCTTTATGCAGATGAACTTGCCGATGGAAATAGATTCGAGTACAATTTTGATTTCAATTTCACCGTGTTGAAATTTTCACAATCCACGATTTTCTGGAATGTTCATGAACATTCTAGACGCATTGCCTGTCAAAGTATTTTTCCTGCTGAAAATTATCTCAATTTTGAAGAAGTGTAAATTTCTTCGTCGTCATCGAGGAACGTACGGGTGAAAATACATAAGGACGTTCGCCCATGAATTTAACAATTTTGATTCTGGGATCCGTTATTTGTTTCTGAACTTTCATGAGCATCCATGAAATACGTTGGAGATAAACATTGAGGTGAAAATAATTAATCAAATGTGAACTCAGAAGTGTGAATTAAGATACTTTCAATCTGTTCTGCTAACAAATAAAGTATCGATTACAAAGACACAAAAAATTCCAGTTGTTTTTTAAGCACATAAATGTAGACCAAAATTACTAGACGCCATTCGCTGTGCTGTGGCACCAGCAAAGTGACACGCCAGTTAGTGAATGTATATATTGTGTGTAGCTGATGGTGTGAGTACTACCATCTGCGCTTATATTATTTACGCCAAAATTATATGCTACCGAGAAATTAAATTGATGATATTCTCGCCTATATATTGATTTCCTACCTCAAATAGAACGCACGCGGTATGACAATACAATTCAAGTCAAGTTCTACTCGATAAATTTATATTCCAACAACGATGAATTGGATAATAATAATGCGATTCCACAGGATTCATCAACAACTTACGTAGTTTAGGCTTGTCCACTTTCATCCCTAGAAGTCCGAATACTCTAGATATATCACATTTTGAAACCATTACTGATGATTGAGTTGAAAGTGAGATATTGAATATTTTAACATTTTTAGTACGCTTGTCTGGTTTTCAGATGTCAAATTAAGAATATTCTATATCAATCAGTTTTACAAAGTTGCACAAAATTACGTTTTTAGCGCTCCCACCTACATGCAAACGAATCCCAATGATGCGACCGAGCCTTTAAGAAAGTTTCCATCGAGAATTGAACAGCATTACAAAACTTCTAGGCAGCTCTGTAGTTGAAAGTTTCTCCGACGCCGGCAGGGAAGCCGGCCTCTTCCAGCCACCGCTTTATTTGAGCGTAGCTACGCTGGTGCCAGTTGACGCTGTTCTCGACTGCCTGGATAACGCCTGCCAGCGAGTGTCGGATGTCCACTGAGGTCAACTTCAACAGTTCACTTAACTGAAAAAATCAGTGTATGCAGTTAGTCGAGTTCGAAACCTTAAATTTTAGTAATTCTATCCATCCTCGTAATTCAGCGGAAAAACGTTGAACAACAGCCAAGCAAGTTAAATGCATGACTTTATAATTTTTGAAAATGAGTACACCATCTTGTAATTTCGGGCTTTTTGAGTCAACTAATAGAGCTGTAAACAAATCATTGAAGTTGCAGAAAACAGAGTTTCATTCACACCTATTAAAGTGACGTCGAAAAGAAATAAACAATATTTCATTATTTAGGCCAAACCCGGAGCCTGAAAGGGTTTTGTAAACCCCAGGTCCAAATAATGACATAATTTTATGAATTCTTACTTGGTTAATCAATGTTTCTTGTTCCTGCTGCGAATGTAAACATTTTATCAGGAGGAAAGTTTAGTCTTAGCGTATCTACTATTTCAGTCATACTAACCATGAACTGGTGGTGCTCGGTATGGAAGTCTTGGGCCAATGTTTTGATGATGCTTGGAAAGACTTCAGGTCTGTAAATAGATTCATTGTAGGACAAAAAATGGTTGGAAAATCGTGCACAATCAAATGCGTTCAACTCCACGTCAAAATAGGCAAGTCATTCCGAAAAAAAACTACCTCAAAAATCCTTCTGAACAAGCAGCAATGATAACATTTAAAAATATGGAGCATTTAAACACTTGATTTTTTTCTGATATTGCAGGAATGCTATTCATAGCTGTTTTGTAACGTTGCCAATACATCAGAGGCAGCAACAAATGACCTGAACGAGACCCAAACAAATATTAAGTACGGGAAAATGCGACGGAATTTAAACAAGGCATAACATACACAAGAGCTGCAAGCCTGCAAGTGAAACGGCAGGAACAAACTAAACTTGGGCAAGTAAGCTGATGCAAGTGAAACGGTCAAAAACTAAATTTTCTCACTTTGAGAAAATTTTGAAACAATATCAGAGTGTAAAATTCGATTAAGAGGTTAAACAAATTGGACTGCCAGAAAATAAACAGCGATAATAATCAGAAGCAATAAAAAATTTGAAAAAATTATCGTTGAGAAGCAGTATGAGTGAGCGAAACAAGTGGGTGAGACTTTTGCAAACAACTAAATATATTAAAACAGTTGAGGATAAAGAAATGAACTAAAATCGTTGCGTATAGCTGAAATACTGATGCAAACTGAAAAACAGTGTCTCCATGTGCCTAGTATATTATTGCAAACAAAAAAGTATAGCAGAAAAAACTAAAATAAATAAGTGTATATCATAAAAAAACTTATTAAACAAATATACGAGCCAATAAAAACAGTCGAGTATGAAAGAGAAGAAACGAACGACATAGATAAGAAATAGGGCAGCAAATAAGGGGGGAAAGTAAGAAAAGCAAAAGTAGAGAAAAATAACATATGACGCAAGTAATTCAAACAAGTGGGTTTCGGCAAACACGCGTTTCCAACGACATAACTCACGTTCGTATGAGGACCTTGCGTTGGTTCCACACGTACTGCCAGGCGACCTCAAGACCGACGTCTGTTTGACGCGTCCAGCGGAGAGCATCCACGAGCTCTGCGCCTCGTAGTCCGGACTGCAGGTACCTGGATAATCAGAGTGAAAAATTATAATTAAATATTAAGTCATTGATAGTAAAATAATTTATTCAAATATAAAAATTGACAGTTTTTAACTCATCAATTCTAAGCGAAAAAAGCTCAGACGCTACCCAGCTTGAAATTCAATTAATGTGTATAGTTTCAGAGGACTTCAAAGTTTAAATTATAAAGAAAATGAAGTGGTTTACATAAATATGATGCTTATCGCAGAAACTAGTGCAATTTACATAATGACGAAAACATTCATCTATCAATCAACTAGGACAGGAGTAAGTCATTAACCTAGCATGAAACAATGTTGCTTTCTACTATACTCGGTCATTTATACTGTTAAATACTCAAAGCGGTTATTTCAGGTAATTAAAAAGTAAATTGTGTGTTAAATAGGAGATACTCATCCATTTTACTCACCTATTGATTAGCCAAGCTTCCCTGGTGCAGCCCAAAGCTTGGCCGAGGGCCTCCCTCCGTGCAGGGTTGGGCGTGTGACTGAAGAGTCGCCACACGGCCGTCCAAACGAGCTCTCCACCGCGCCGCACTGCCGCACAGAACGCTCCTCCTCCTCGATCAAAACTGGTATCACTGCGACCAGGAATGAAATTAGCATTGCAGAAACCAGTTGAAAGAAAATAAAACTTTATAATTGCCAAGAAATTGGATCTATAATTGCCAAGAAATGCAGCTTCACTTGTGTTAGAAAAATGAGCAATGCTGAGGTCGGGCAGTGACCGATGGGATGTAGGACGTGTGTGTGTAGGACCTTGAACCGCGAGATGTTGTTCGACAATTTATGAACTTCAAATTAATTCTACTATGTCACTTTAATGGTTGTTCTTAGTTTTCTACCTAATTTCGTGATGATGGATAAATTTAGACTTAATGCTAGCAAGCCACTTAGTTATAGTCACCATAATTGAATTCGAGATGCAGTTTGAGCTTTCGTAAAAATAAATGGTACATTATGGTAAGCAAGCTTTTTTTTTAATGTACCCGAAACTCACGACGACAGTTTAAATAAATGGATAAATGTACGATCTAATAATAATTGTACTTAGGAAAATGAACAGCGGCGTAAAAATATTAACAGCTCCGTCCCTGTTAACTACTGGCAACTTGGCTTCAAATCGATATTGGTTATCATTCTATCGTCCACTGCATCAGTGCGGGCTGCGAATCCCGGTTTGAAGTTGAGAGATTTCATTTTATGTCATTAGTAAAATAATAGTTTATAAATATAGTTGTGCACGATGTGCATCTGCGTACGCCGGGATGACGTCTCGCAATCTTTATTCTAGGGTCGCAGAACATAGGGGCAGGAATTGTAGGACTGGGCCTATACTTTCAAAAAAAAGTTAAGAGATCGTAAGTTCATCAGCCAATCATTGACGGCCTTTCAAGCAAAATCCACCAATCATAGACAAGAAAATAGAGCGTAAGTACTTACGTTCACTTAGCGAATTTTGAAAGTATGGCCCCTGGTAACTTACTATCGCGCCCTCCTCATTCGGCTGTGCGCACACGCCGAGTAGTGCGATGTTCCAATTTCTGATAGTGACTAAGGTTTTAGCTTCCACCTCGGGTGGGTGTTTCTGATTTGCGCATTTTAGAATCATTGTACATTTTTTAAAAGAGGCCTTGTATAAATTTAGCTTTTAGCTCTTATATACCCGCTTGAAATTGTAAATAGATAGGTTTTACCGCTTAGGTTTTTTTTTTGCAATCTTGACTGTACTAATTACTGATTTATCTGTGTTCTAGAATTTTCAAACTGACGATGGAGCTGGACTCGGAAACGTTTTCTTTAAAGATAGTATGAATTTTTGTGGAGTTTTCTTTGCTTCTAAGTTTTTAGTGAATTTGCGATTCAAGCAAACTAGTGACATTATTACGTAAAATAATAGTATCTGCATATGCATAGGTAATTATGCCATGCCTGACATGTCGTTAATTCAGGACATCACAGAATTTTTCATGTGAAGCTGAAGCTGATACCCGCATATCACTGCTCCAATCCTGGTGCTCTTAAACAGGCAAATGCATACGGTTATCCAAAATACAGTCGTTGACAATATCCAAAAACATTGGTTCTATTATTCCGGGCAACTTCCACACTCACTTTGAAAGCTCCATAGAGTGGGCTACTCCTGAGCATCGAGTTCAGGTATTTGAAGTTGTTGAAGGCTGCAAGCCACGGCACCAGTGACACTTCTTCACGTAAATACCTCGTGATGTTCAGAGGTACATGATAAGGCACGAGCCCTGCACGTTGTGATAAACATTATGTAGAGATTTGAGAAACGTATCAAAGAAAGAAATTGATTTATAAACAATAACTAATCATTGAATCCATTCCCGAATCAATGATAAGACTGCAGACAGAACTGTGGTTAATAATCGTGCAATGAATAGATCGATCAAAATAAAAATTTCAGAACACAGGAAATACAGAAAAATAATAAATAAAAAAATTAAGGGAATCATTAAGGTAAGTTTTGACCTGATTTTACAGTAAGAAGGTTTTATGCAAGTATAACTGCATAAAATGCAAGAATATGCAGGTTTTTGCAGTTTTATGCAGGAATAACAGCATAAAATGCAGAAATATGCAGTTTTTGCAGTTTTATGCAGGAATAACAGCATAAAATGCAGAAAT